ACTTTTAATGTTGCAACTTACGTTGCAATTAGTTTTAATCTATATATGTTGCAACTTATAATGTTGCAATATATGTTACAACTAATTTTAGCTTATGTTACAACATTTTGTAAATTTGAAATCAATTGCTGTACCATCTTTACTCAGAACCCTATTTTTCTAGTAAACCTCCTATATATATCATGTAATATTTTACACTACCTTTATTTATTATATTTTGAATATTTTTATCAAATTCTATAATTTGAATACTATAAAATTTCAATAAATTAATTATATATATTCCATCAAATATTATCCTGTAAAATAAGAGATTAAACTTATTATTATTATAATTATAATTATAAATATAACTATTTACTATAACTTTATCATATCTGTATTTAAAAAAAACAATTAAGCATATTATAATAAAGAAATGAATTTATAATACTAAACTAAAAAAAAAAAAACTTAATTATTTATTTCAATTAGTTAATTATCTTTAGTATATAATAATTCATATATAATAATAAATGGAAATATATTTTTCTCTTAAGTAAAATACTTTAAGATTTCAGATTCTTTTATAACTCTTTTTATACAGTAAGTTTTAAAGATATTTTAGAACTAGAAATAAATTAATTTTTATCAAGTAGATTATCAAAATTGAAAAAATACTTTAAACTGTATAAATTTAATTTAAATCAATCAAGCAATCACGTAAAAATCCTTCTATAATCCTCTATTTTCTTACATAAACAGCTAATTTCTAATATGCTCTTAAATTATATATATTTTTAATTTTTAAAAATTTTTTTATTTTAAATTAATAAAAAAATTTATTTAATATAATAATTAAAAAAATAAAAAATTTTAATTAATAGTATTAAATAAAAATTATTTTAAATTTATAAAGATTAATTAAAACTTTTTAGAATTATATAATATTTATTCTTTTAGAATAATTTGTATTTTTCTTTAATATGATTTTTTTAATCAACATTATTCAATTATAAATGATTATTATATGCATAATTTTTAATTAGTGAATTATCAAATAAATTTATCTGATTTCTGATTTATGCAAATCAATCACAAATATAAATAATGGTTAACTTTTAACCAATTTTTGAATTTAATCTGAATTGTCTATTAAATAACAAATAGCAATTATTTTGATTTTGTCTATTATTTTATTATTTAAATAATAATATAATTTTTTAGTAATTAAATTTTAAATTTTTATTTTCTTAATAAAGTATTATTAATTTAATAACCCATATTTTTATATAATTATTTTATAAAAAAATTATCTATTATATAATCCTTATAGTTAATTATATTTTATGCTAATTTTTTAATTAAATTTGTAATTATATTTTTTTTTTTAAAAAAAAGGTAATTAATTATCATAATTTTATATTGTATATATACCAAGTATAAAATTTTAACATATTTAGTTAATTACTTTTTATTATAAAAAAAATTAAATTAATTAGTTAAAGTTCTATTTTATATAAATATGTAATTTAATTAAATATAACCTTTATAGTCTTAAAATTTTGTTAAATATATATTTAAAATATATTTTAATTAATAAATTCTAATAATAATAATAATAATTAGTGTTGGATTTGGACATATATGATATCTAATTGGACATATACATTACATATTTATATGTTCAATTAGATAATGTCTAACACTGATAATATATATAGGAACTTTGCAATAGAAAGAGGTAAAACTACTGAAAAAATAAAATGAGTTAATGCTAAATTTAATATATTTTAACCTAAAAATTTCATATTTGGTATAAAAAAAGTAGAATTGATTTTTCTGGCAGTTTCCATTGCAAAGGTTCTATATAATATTTATATATTTATAAAATATATAGCAATTTAAATTTTTTATCACTTTATATATTGTATGATTTTTTTAAGCAAAAATTGTTCTGATTTTAACATTAATCAAAAAATTTTTTGTATTTATAATATAAAATATTCAGTTTAGTACAAATAAAGAACATTTTCTTTTTTTATTTTAAAGCCAATAAATATCTTACAATATCGCCATGCTACATTGGATAACAAAATCAGCATGATCCGTTGGACCCGTTTAAAATAATACACAATTGACAATATCATTATATCATAATGACCGACTGTTACCTGTTAGATAATAAGATAAAATATAATAATAATTTGGTGTTATAATGAATGGACCTTTTGAATTGAACAATTCAAGATAATAAAAATTTCAACAAATACACGAAGTCATGCACATGATGAATCGGATTTTATTACTAAGAACGGGATTTTTTAGAAAAAACTTGAGGTGGCATGGTAGTAAAAAAAATTCGATCATCTGATTCATTAGATTATATTTATTGATTGCATTTTGGCAATTCTTAGACGCGTTTTTTATTTTATTTTTTTGTAAAGATTCTTTGTTAAAATTTATGAAAATTGTTAATTCCAAAGCATTGTTTATTATAGCTTTTTGAGACATTGAATTTGACTCTTGCTGCTTCACTGAGATAATTTGCATTTTTAACTGATTCTAACTTCATTTTACAAAAACTGACTTGTTCTGATTCGAATACATATTATTTATCATTATACTTGGTTAAATAATCACTTTAATTAATATAATCAATAAAATACAATTTAGGACTTGAAATACATAAAATACAAAAAATACATGATACTAATATTTGAGAATAAACTGGATCATTCCGCAGTCTTATTTTTTATTCATAATATCAAACTTAAATATTTCTTCCAAGTTATATCATTTGATAGGGTTTATTAATATTACCCAGTGACCAATGGTGTATTTTTTTAATTAAAAATAAATTAAAGACTTCTTCGCATAATTTTAAATTAATAAATTAAATTCGAAATTATAGTCTATATTGTTCAGGAAATTCATAGTGTCCAGCACAGTTATTATATAAATGGAAGTGGGAATTCCAATGGAATTTAAACAAAAGAGGTTCCAAAGGAAGAAACTTCAAATACAGAAGGAGTAGTTTGTGGAAAAGTGATTCCTTGATTCATATGCAATTCCAACTCTTTAAAATCAATATAAGCTCGAGAATTTTCATCAAACCGACGAGTATTATTTTGCGGTACACAAGACGGAGTAGGAGGAGGAGGATTCTGTTGAATCGATGATGCGGGTTGTTGCTTATTATCAACATCAACAACATCATTATTATCGTTTCTTCTAATAGAAATTCTTGGATAGAATCTCATAGTTCCAACCTTTCTAGCTAAATCACAGTAATGTAATTTGGTTTCCATAGGTTCTTGTTTCCACAATCTAAACACGATAAAGGAGAGGTGATTGATTTTCAAGTAACCAACTTGTTTTTTAATTATGTTATGATATGCTTTCCTATAAATGATAAATCCATTAAGAGGTTTATTATTTGAAATAATCAACTCCCTTAAAGAGGAAGTGTAAGGGTATGGTGGACGGTATTGTAATAATTTCGAAGTTGATGGTATAGTCTTTGGAGACGACGACATGTTGTATTTTGTTCTTGAGGAGAAAAAAAAGAGATTAAAAAGTAGAATTATGGTAGATTTTAGTGAGGAAGACAAGAAAATTTAAAATAGAATTATGTAGTTTTATCTTGATTTTAGTGAGGAAAAAATCCGTCTTTTTTATAATAAATTTCACATCCGCAGTATATTGTTGTATCATATGAAAGCAATTATTTATTTATTTATTTATTTATTTGGTGCGAGCATTTTTTATCTATATCTAAATAAAGAAATTTCTCCACAGTGCAGCAAATATTTTTATAATAACAAATATGTGTTTTCCCACCAAAGCAAAATAAAGATAAGAGATTGATCCGACTATTCCCGCATCCGTGCGTTTTGTTTTAGTTACATCATTCTTTATTTTTTTCGTTGAATAATATGTTTCAAAATTTTACAATGAAAGTTCTCGGCTTCTAAAGGATGAGGTACTTGCATGCAAAAAAAGAATGAAAAAAAAAATTTTTTTTTCAATAACATTTGATTGATATATCTCAAATTTAATGAGAAAGTGCATAGTTTGTTTATTAATTATTGCATAATCTGGGGTAGATAGTACTTTTGGCGCAGAATATGCATGCATGTGCATAAATTTTGTTTGTCACTAATAAAGATAAAAGTTAATTTAATTGATTTCTTCTTCTTTTGTTCTAGTTCTATTCAAAAATACTTTAAACATTTCGTTAGATAGATAGAATTTGATTTTGTCAACTTCGACATTAACGTTAATATGAATGATTCTAAAAAGTAAAACAATTTATTTTTTGAAGATCTGATTCACACATACTGTATTTAGTTGCTTCGACTGCTTATGAATTGTTCATCCTATAAATACTCAAGATTAGAAGTTAGTAGTGGAATCATTTACACCTATTTATTTATGTAATACACACAGCATACGCAAAAGGTGCGACTTCCACCAAAAAATGCGAATCATGTGATTAATTTAGCCGATCTTATCTAAATATAGTTAGATTAGTTTTAGCGAAAGTTTTATTGTCTTAACTAAATTTCCTTTAACTTTTAAAATCATTTCTTTGATAGGAATGTTTGCCTACTCTATAAGTTTGCTTATGATCAAAAGGAAGGTTTTAAATGCTATTTTTTAACTTACATATTGTGTTTTATAAAAATTACCTTATAAAGAAACTGTATTGAAAACATCTAAATAAAGAGTATACATATAAACTGTACTATACAAAAGTGATTATAACCAATTATATTTTAAGATAAAAATGCACATAAGATGCAATGTTGGAATCTGTGTAGTACTTTTTACTAAGTTTTATTCAAAAAATAAAATCAATTTTATTTTCGTCAAAAATTTATTATTTATTTTGGAAATGATCTGCAATATTAGATCACATGATTTCGCATTTTTTAGTGATTACACTAGGAAAATCAAAAGGTGCTATTATATGATATGACCATTTTGATTCCTATATCAATGTGTATAGAATCATTTTTAATTGTCAATCAATACAATATATCAAAATCATTTCTTTTAAAGAAATTTTTCAAATTTGAAAAAGCAATAGAAAATAATAATATTATTAGTGATAAATTATTAAATACAAAAATAATGTTTATAAAATATTTTTGCAAATTTTATTAAATATATATAACTATATTTTATTAAAAAATAAATCTAAATTATATCAGAAATGATGATTTTCTATAATGACAAAATACTAATTTTGTCTAATAAAAATAAATTCTGCAATAAAAAAATAATAATTTCTATAATATTTTGATTCTATATGAAATCTGCATTATTATAACATTAATTAATGCTGGTTTAATTTATTTAATTCAGTAAAAATCTATGAACAACAAAAAAATCATTCATTTTCTGAGAAGTAATAAAAAAAAGTCAGATTTGTAATAAATAGTAAAAAAATTTGAAAGAAAATTTGTATATTAGTAGTGCTAGAGGGGTTTAGATAAGTAGACTAAAGAGTTATCATATAATCAAAATAGTATTATAGTTATTTAAGTCTAATAAATATAGATAGTTACAAATTGAATGATCAATAGAGAAATTAATAATATTTATAAATTGCTGTATTTTTGATGGTTATGAAATGAATATTAAGTCATTAAAACTATAGAAGATTTGATTGAATTTAGTGTGTTAAGTCTGAATCTTAATTTATTTTTGATAACCTTTCTTATAAATTTGTAAAGAAAATCACTTTCGTATTCTGAGAAAACTATAAATAAGTCTTAATATATATTTCAAATAGGTATTGAAATCATATTATTTAAGTATTATATTTGTTTATCTGTTAATATTTATATCTAAATTTATAATAATCTTAGAAAAAATTTGATGTTTGATATATTTTTTATTATATTGAGCAGAAATTCATATACCAAGATATCTAGTTGAATCTTTAGGTGAGATAGTTTGATTTAAATAAGAAATTATTCATGAAATTATGAAAATAATAGACTTAGTATTATTATAATCAGTAATTAAATAAGATTTATCAAAATTAACTTTCATGAAATTCAATTTGTAAAAAGTCTATGTTAAATTAAGAATACTGAATATTTAATTATAACTGTCAGCTATTCATATTGTATCATCTATAAATGCAAGAACTGGAATGGTAATATTAAGAGATTTTAATAAAATATTTAGGTCAGAATTTCATATTATGAACATATTAAAGCCAAGTTTAGAATTTTTAATATGATTGAATAAAGGATCATAATAAATAACCTATAGTAAAGGTAAAATGACTTCTTTCCAATCAATACTAACAAGAATTTTGTAGGGTTAGTAAGACCAAAATTAGTAAGAATCTCATTGATTTGATTGAGAAAGAGATCTACAATAAATCTGATTAAAATATTAGAAATTTTAAACAAGTTAAGGCTTTTTGTAGCATATAAATATTAACTCATCAAAAGCTTTTAACATATCTTAAAAAAGGATATGTAAATCTTATTTATAAGTATTGTTGATATGAAAAGGTTCTAATATTAATTTATGTAATAAACTTGTGAAATTTAAGCCAGATAATATATTATTTTTATTAGAGCCTTTTACAAATATATGTTAAGAATTTTAATAAAAGCTTTTCAGACAGTTTCTAGTAGTTTAATTGGTCAGATATTATTAAGATCACAATTTTATGGCTTTGGTTTCAATATTAGATAAACATAGATTAAATTCTACTGTTTTAGGTTGAGATTAAATAAAAAACAAGCACAAATAATTTTATATAAGAATTTGTTAACAAGCTGATCTATTTTTTTTTAAAAGTTCATTAGTTATATTTGAAGGATAAAAGGTTTTATCATCAGATAAATATTTAATAATAAGAATTTATTTATCATAAATAGGAATATTTAAAAAGTATTATCATTAATATATGAAAAGGATTTATAAAAGTCTTTCCATTATAACTAAAATTGAAAAACTAGGCATTATAGAATCTATAACTTCTATGTTTTGTAAGTCTGTTACTTTTTGAAAATGCTTAATAGTAGTTTTTTTTAATATAGTTCAAGTTTAATTCAAAATAGAGATCATTATTAGGTTTTTTAATTAAAATTCTATTTAGTATAATAGTTTTTCTAAACCTTTTAAGGCAAATTTCTATCATTTTTGAAAAAGCATTTTTGTAGTTATCAATATGCTATAAGACAAAGACCTTAATGATGTTATTACTTTCTTGTTTGAAAACAATTTTTAGTTTGCATTCCAATAGTTTAATAATGGAAACTTTTAAATTATGAAAGTATGCATGTAAATCTCTTTGATAGAAGAAGAAGTTTAATAAGACTGATAAGATTTTATGTTTATTAGCAATTGTAAGGATATTCTTATACTCTTTAGAAGTAATAATAAATGAAACAGATAAAGAAGTAAGGTGATCAATCATATTCTTATTCATAAATAATTTGGTCTTATAGTAAAGTTTGTAAAGCTTTTTGATTTATTTATAAATAGCAGAATTATCAAAATAATAAAAAGACTTATATTTTAGTGTAGTAGTAGTTTTAGGAATATGCTTATTTACAATATATTTAATTGATTGAATAAAGAATTTTCAGGCTTTGTTAAAAGCAATTTGAGAGAAGCTAAGGTTACTACTATCACAGTTATTGAATTTTTTCAATTCTTTAATAAATTTATTAAGTTTATCAAAAAATAAAACCCAATGCAAGAAGGCAGTTTTTTTCAAAATTAAAGGATTTTTGTTATTTATATTATTTCTGTATATATTAGATGAGATGTTGAAGATATTATTTTTATAAAGAGTAATATGAAAGATTTGCTAGAAAAATAAGGTTTTATGCGTTTTTTATTGACATTATAATGTTAGATTAAAATGTATAAAAATTAAAATTTTAATAAAAAAATGCTTAGAATCCCATTTTTCTAGCAAACCTCCTATATATAAAGGAAAATGATTTGATTTGTAAATAGTACTAGAAGTACTAGAAGTGTCAAAAATTTTAAAAGATATGAAATTCCGAGAAAGTGAAGAAGACATATAAATATAATCTATTTCTATTCTTTGCTTGATCATATAATTTGTTACTATTTTCCATTTTGTCAGCTCAAGTTTTCTTTTGTTTTCCTTTATTAGTTATAGGATGCATTGTGATTAAGTATAATTTGTTTGTTATTATTATTTGAGAAACTAGAAACGTAAATAGAGTCATTTATTATTTGAAGAGTAAAAGGAAGAAGAATATTATTTTTTGAAATTGAAGAAGTTGGATTAATACCTATAGTTTCTGTAGTTTTAAATTTGAGTGTTAAGTCAATAGTAGGTATAATAGTATTATTGTTAATGATAATGATATTGTTAATAGTTTTTTCTAAAGAAGTTTCTTGAGTTTGAGAAGAAGTATTGCTAGCAAGTTTTTGTTATTAGTTTGTTCTTTTATTTATTAATGTTGTTAAAAGAGCTAGTAGTGTTATCACTATTCTTATTTTTGTTATGTTTGTAATATTTAGG